CTGGTTGTGACTAAAGCCCAGTGATCCGCCGATCCCTTGACTCCCAACCTGTTTCTCTTTTGTAAATGTTCATCACCTCCTCTACTCCATTGAAAGCTTTCTTTTTACCATAACTTTCGGGCATAATTTGTGGAGTATCTGTTCTTTGTGTGCTATAGCTCTGAAAACACATTCTTACCTGTGAGTTCATAACTAAAGTGGTTTTCACCTATTGTCCTGTAGAACTCTGCATTTTAGAGACCTGTCCTTGGGGTTCTTGATGTGGGTTTTCCTTGCCAAGATCCTGCTAGTTCTAAGAGAGACAGCCTGCGTCCTTTCTGGACAGAAGCAGTTGCCTCGTGGCAGCAAGCCATGGCAGAAGCTTAGCGTGTGAGTGTGAGTGAGATACAGTCCACAGGAAAGGGAGGCTGGAGAGGCCACCTCTGCCTTCACTGTCTGGAAACCTAACTATCTTGTCTATTTTATCAAGGTAAAAACATGCCTTAGCTTATAGGAGCCTTGTTCAGATCATTTCATGTAATTGCCAATTGTCACTCATTGCATTTTTAAAACAGAATTCCTTGGCTCTTTCTACTTGTTAAATAAAAGCTATAGGGCAGAGGGTGTATATGCCTTAGTCGTACAGCCTCGTGTACCAAACACTGGACCCTGGATTTGACCCTGGTACCAATCTGAGAAACCGGGAATTGCAGCTGTCCAGGCTCCCATCTGTCAGACGTAAGCCTTCCTGGCTGTAAGGCAGAGAGGAGAGCAGCTAAACACAGCCTTGAGTTCTCTGCTCTGCATGTGACGATTCTGAGTTGTGTGTAATGCTTATGATTGTCATAAATAAAATGTTTTCATTGTGATAGGTTCATTCTTTTTAAATATAAGTTGCCCAGGATTTAGATGGCCATCAAAGGCCTGTCAGTACTTCCACATCCTCCCACCCACTTTTCTTCTGCAACAATTTTTTTTTCTTGAAATAAGGTCACAAGGTAGTTCATACTGGCCTCAAACTCATTTTGTATCTGAGGATGACCTTGAACTCCTGATCCTCTGGCCTCTACCTCCCAAGTGCATGCTGAGTTAGGTGTATATCATCATGCCTGGCTGTAAGGAAGTATTTTTCTTTTTCCCTTTGTTACTGGGTTTTGAATCTAAGGCCTTGCACTTACTACTAGAAACAGTAAGATAGCAAGGTTTATAGCCAACAGTTCTATTTATATATACTAAAAATCCATAAAGCTGAGCTGAGTGTGGTGCATAAACCTATGATCCAGTACTCAGGAAGTAGAGGCAGAAGGATCAGAGGTTTGCCTGCCTTAGCTACGTGAGCCCCTTTCAGAAATAAACTATAGTGCTAGCTGGTGTGACTTGGTGGGGGGGCTCTTACCTAGCATGTACAAGGCCTTGGGTTTGACTTCCAGTGCCAGAAGTGTGTGTGTGGGGGGGAAACCTTAGCGTTAGAGAGAAGGCCCAGTGGTTAAGGGTGTGTACTAACAACTCTTGCATAGGACAAGTTTTTAGTAGCCAAGTCAGGCAGCTCACAACCAAAAAGAAATAAAAAGATTTAATTTTTAAAATTACGTGTATGTGTGTGGGTATATGCACAGAAGTGCTCTACCTAGGGGGATTCCACACCCTTTCCTAGACTTCATGACTGTCGGCACTCATGTGCATATACCCACACACATAATTTTATTTTTTATTTATTTATTTATTTATTTTAAAGTAATTTTATTAAATTATAAAAGATTCCATTTACGCCCGTCTTCCCAACACCCTCCCACTCCCCCCTCCCTACACACATAATTTTAAAAAATTAAATCTTTTTTTTTTTTCTTTTTGGTTTTTTGATACAGGGTTTCTCTGTAACAGTCCTGCCTGTCCTGGAATTCATTCTGTAGACCAGGCTGGCCTACAGAATCCTCAGAGATCCTCCTGCCTCTGCCTCCCAAGTGCTGGGATGAAAGGTGTGTGCCCCCATCGCCTGGCCTGAAAATTAAATCTTAAAAAAAATAATAAACTAACTGGGTGTAGTGGCATCTTATTTTACTTTATGATTGCTGTGACAAAACACTATGACCAAGGCTCCTTGAAAATGTTTAGTTTGGGGCTCACAGTTCCAGTTATTAGAGTCCATGACGGCCATGGTGGGGAGCATTGCAGCATGGCATGCAGGCATGGTGGCATGTTCCTGGTGCAGTACTTGAGAGCTTACTTATTATTCACAATAGGAGGCAGAGAGAGCCTAAGGTTTTTGAAAGCTCAAAGTCCACCCCCAGTGACACACCTCCTCACCAAAGCCACATCTCCCAGTCCTTCCCAAACAGTTCCACCAACTGGGGACCAAGTATTCAAATATATGAGTATATGGGAGCCACTCCCATTTAAACCACTAATGGTGGCTCATACTTTTAATCACAGCACTTGGGGCAAAGAGGCAGGATTGCTGTGAGTTCAAGGCTAGCCTGGTCTATATAGTGTGCTCCAGGCCAGCCAAAGCTATATAGTGAGACCCTGTCTCAAAACAACAAAAACAATGCTCGACACTTTCCAAAGGATTTATCACATCCCATAATACCTCAGACAAGAATCAAACCTTTAGGACATGGGCCTTTGAGAGCCACTGCATATTCACAATATAGTGAAGGTTTATATATTAGAAAATGTAAAATATTGCTGAAAGAAACCAAAGGTCTAAATGAAAATATATTTCATGTCTGTCTCTCTTATAAGAGATTAAAATGAAAATACTCAAAATTTTTGAATAGAAAAAAAATTGGGGGGCAGTGGTGAGGTTGAGACAGGGTCTCTGTGTAGCCCTGGCTGTCCTGGAACTAACTGTACACCAGGTTGGCCTCTTAACTCACAGAAATTGGCTTGGTCCTGTCTCCCAAGTGCTGGGATTAAAGGCATGTACTACCACAGCCTGGCTTCTAAAATTTAAGTTATTACATATAAACATATAAAATGAGTATTAGGAGAGATTCTAAAAATGATCTTAAATATCCTATTTGGAATTGTGTCTCCTAGGGCGCTGTGGTTCACAGCAGCCTGCAATTCCAGTACCAGGGCATCCAATACCCTCTTCCCGCATTCATGGGCACTTCACACACACACACGATATACAGACAATACAGGCAGGCAAAACCACAGTTCACATAAAATAAGCCTTTAAGATTTTTTTTTTTTAATTTAAGGGCTGGAGAGATGGCTCAGTAGTTAAGAGCACTGGCTGCTTGCTCTTCCAGAGGTCTTGTGTTCAATTCCTAACAACCACATGGTGGCTCACAACCATCTGTAATGAGATCCGATGCTGTTTTCTGGTGTCCAAAATACATACAGAATACTGTATACATACAGGCAGAATACTGTATACATACATAAAAAATAGATAAATCTTTTAAAATTTAAAAATTTTTTTTTTCATTTAAGCTGGGTAGTAGTGGTAAAGTGGCACACCTTTAATTCTAGCACTCGGAAGGCAGAGGCAGGCGGGTCTCTGAGGCCAACCTGGTCCACAGTTTCATGAAAGACAGGGTTACATAGAGAAACCCTGTCTTGAAAAACCAAAAAAAAAAAAAATTATTTACTATGCATGGATGTTTTCACTGCATGTCTGTGTACCATGTTTGATGTTTGTAACTGGTGCCCGTGGAGGCCAGAAGAGGACTTCAGCTCCCCTAGAACTCCAGTTACAGATGCTTGTGGGTGCTGGGAACAGAACCTGGGTACTCTGTCGGAACATACCTACCGAGCCATCTCTGAGGCTCACTCTCACATTTAAATGAACAGGACGCTTTAGCACCCAGTCTCTCTCTCCTATCGGCAAGAAGCCCCTGAAAGTAAGTTCATGTCTTTGGAAGCAAGCTCTCTACTGAGGTATCCCATTTTCCAGTGACTTCCATGGCATATTTATCTTCAAATTATTTAGCAGACTCCTTCCCTCAAAGGTCAGTTTGGAAACAGGAGGGCAGAGTGATATAAGAACAACCAAAACTGCCTCCTTATAGGACATGCTCCTACAGAAACTTTCTGGAAAATGCATTCCTTTCAGTGTGCCTTTGTAGCTAAAACCCAGCCCTGGTTTCATGCTGGGTTCCCCTTAAGGAATATGTACAACATGCATTGCCTTTGAACAAATGCTCAGCGGTGGTGGTGCACGCCTTTAGCCCAGCACTTGGGAGGCAGAGGCAGCCTGGTCTACAGAGTGAGTTCTAGGACAGCCAGGGCTACATAGAGAAACCCTGTCTCAAAAAACAACAACAAAGCAAAACAAAGGGGGAAAAAGTGCTTATTTTTGGGACAAGAACATAGCTCGTGTTTGCCTAACATACATGAGGCCCTGGGTTCAATTTCGGTTCCCAGTGCAAGTGTTAAAGCTCTTAAGGGAAAGGTGACCTGGTAGTCGGAAGCCAAGGAATACCTACAGCTAGGAAGGGAAAGGTGACCCAAGGGAAGTGTTGCAGCTCTACTCCAGTGGGGCAGGCTCCCTGCCAAGTGTTACAGTCCTTGCTCCAGGAAAAATTTCTGCAACGGGAGTGGAACGACTCTGCTCTAGCAGGGGACAGCTGGGCCCAGCGAGGGCAAGGCTGTTAAGAGCTCTGCTCCACTCTGCTCCGGTGAAAGAAAGTCATTACAACAAACCTCACTCAAGTTTACTGGGAGGGAGGAACCCAGGAGAGTGTCCGCCTCTGCCAGGGTAGAAAAAAGGGCAGCCCCAAACTGAACAAGTACAGGGCTTATCTAGGGCTTCCTAAGGGTGGAGCTTTCCAAGGTGGAGCTTTCCAGGATGTGGGTTGGTAGAATCTCAATTCCTGAGTTTGGGACAAACTCAGGTTAGTTTAATTTTGTATTCAGGGATTGTTTTCATGCTCAGCGGCTGGTTGAACTTCAGTTCCTGAGTTGGTTATGGGCAGGGTGTGTTTCCTTGGCGCTGATCTCAAGGCCAGGGAGTTCTTTCACTGGCCCTTCTTACCCTATGCCGAGCACAGCAGAAAAAGGTTGCAGGGAGGTGGTAGACAGAAAGGCTTTATTTTGTATTTTGTATTTTGTGACCACTACTCAGTTTTACTGAAGTCTGCCCCCAGTTCTCTATTTGAAAAGTCCTGGGCTAAGAGCTGGAGAATTTTCATAAGCAAATTCTTCTGTATGGGCTGGATCAGTAAACACACCAATAAAATCTATTTCCAGAAAGAACGGTCCATCCACCTTATCTGCCAGGGTGAATCCTATAGAAGAGATCTAAATGGAAAATAAGAGAAGTGGGTTAGAATCTCATGCACTGAGGCAGCCATGTTCTTTCTCGAGGGAATCCTGTAATAGACCACACTATCGGCCCTCAGCATGTGATACTCTTCATCTGCTATACTAAAGAAGTACAAATACAAGACTGCTTTCATCTTTTTCTAGATAGGATTGCATGTAGCCCAAGCTGGCGCTGAACTCCTGACCCTCCTGCCTTCAGCCCTCAAGTGCTGGGATGTACAGGATGTCCCACCACACTTGAGCGACTGCTCCTCCCGACCCCACGTTTTACTTCCTGTCTTCTCCCCTGAGTCATCCACTTAGACAATCAGTACAGCATGGACTCTTAACAGAGGCTCCTTAAAGTTCTGAGCTCTTCTGATTATACAGCTAAAGTAAAACGAAGGCTGCTGAAAAGACCATGCTAACACCTCCCAGAGGTCCAAGGTAGTGTTGGTTCTTAACAGAGGTGGCTCCTCAGGATGGAGGTCTCAGTCAGCGTCTGTCCCAACAGAGAAGCCTGAGTAGGAATTTTAATCTTTCCTCTGCCACCCTTGCCAAACAGACTGAGCTGGACCGACTGCCACAGTATTTCACTAAAGGACATTGTTCCCAGTGGAGAACATTACCTTGTCAAGGACGAGTGGGCACTGGCCATCTCGTATCCTTCCTTGATTTGAGAAGAAGAATTTGGAGAAAGGAATCTGAAAAAAGAACAAATTACTTCAGAGCTGAAGCATGACTATTTGAGGCACGTCTGCTAAACACATGAGCAACATCACAAGACCATTTCAGTACGTAGGTAAGTTCGTAAGTTTAAAAAGACAGGTATAGGGGCTGGAGAGATGGCTCAGAGGTTAAGAGCATTGTCTGTTCTTCCAAAGGTCCTGAGTTCAATTCCCAGCAACGACATGGTGGCTCACAACCATCTGTAATGAGGTCTGGTGCCTTCTTCTGGCCTGCAGGCTTACATGCAGACAGAATGTTGGATACATAATAAATAAATAAAATATTTAAAAAAAAAGACAGGTATAGGAAATGACTGGTTCTTTAGATTAAAACTAGTTTCCTGAGGGGTTTTCTTTTTGTAGTGATGTAGATTAAGCTGGGGTCTTAGGAAGCATTTTACTACTTTACATTAGACCAAAGACAGACAGACAGACAGACACACACACACACACACACACACACACACACACACACACACGACAGCCAGCCAACAGTTCAGCCAGCATAGCATGCCTGTGAATCCCAGCTACTTGGAAGAGGGAAGGAAAAGGAAGACAATTCAAGGCCAGCACAGGCAACTTAGACCTTACTTCAAACAGAAAACAAAGTGTTAGGCTGGGCTGTGACGTGCTCTCAGAGCAGGTGAGGAGCCCTGGCCGCAGCCCTCGGGCGGCTGAGGGTGGAGTGTGCCAGTTATTTCATCACAGGAAAAGGCCAGATCTGAAGGCTTCATTTTTTTTTCTTTTTGTCTGAGACAGGGATGTGAGTCAGTGGCAGAGCACCTGGCAAACACTCCTCACCCGCACACAAGCAGACGGGCCAGTAAGCTGACACACTGTGCTGACTAGTTCTGTGCCACCTTGGTAGAGCCCAGTCACCCGAGAGGAGGGAACCCCAACTGAGAAAATGCCTCTGTGGGACTGGGCTGTAGGGAAACCTGTGGGGCATTTTCTTATTAGTGATTGGTGGGTGGGCTAGGCCAGCCCATTGTGGATGGGGCCATCCCTGGGCTGGTGGTCCTGTAAGAAAGCAGGCTGAGCAAGCCATGAGGAGCAAGCCAGTAAGCGGCACCCCTCCCTAGCGTCTGCATCAGCTCCTCCTCCAGATACCAGTCCTGCTTGAGTTCCTCCCCTCACTGTTTTGATGATGAACAGTGATATGGAAGTGTGGATGAAATAAACCCTTTCCTCCCCAGATTGCTTTGGGTCATGGTGTTTCATCACAACAATGGTGACCTAAACTAAGACACATAACACATACATACATAAATTTTTCTTTCT